GGAGGAGGTATTCGAGGAATAATGCGAAAGGGCCAGGGCGTTGCCAGTGTAGTAACTCGTCTCGCGTATGCTCCGCTTGAACGAGACGGAGCTTGATCTCGTTCCGCATTTACTTACCTAGTAAGCTGCCGCTGCCTCGTACTTTTCAATAAACTCCGCCACGTCGGCGGCCCCGTGGGCCCGGGCAACCTCGGCCGCCGTCCCCTTGACATTGAACGGCCACCTTGCTGTTGTCGACCTGACAGACTTGTCCAGTCCCAGCTCCAGCAGCCACTTGGCGCACGCCAACTGGCCCGTCCTCGCCGCGTAGTGCAGTGCGGTGAAGTCCCCCGACGCCCTCTTGTGCAGATCCTGCCCGCGGCCCAGGAGGAAGCTCGCGGAGCGCACATGGCCGCCGGTGCAGGCCCAGGTGAAGGCATCTGACCCCTGGGGCGTCGTGTACGACCAGTCAGCCCCGTGCTCGATGAGAAGCCGGATAATCGGCAGCAAGCCGTAATGGGCGGCTTCCATGAGGGGCGTCGCGCTGCTGGAGCCCTTGCTGTTGACACGCGCGCCCACCTCGAGCAGGAGGCGGACCATGGAGAGGTCCTTCAGCAGCACCGCCGCGTGAAGCGGCCTCCTCTTATCTGCAGTCTGGGCGTTCAAGCCAGCCTTGTGCTTGGCGAGAAGCCTCACCATCTCGGGCCAGCGCTTCGCTACCGCTAGGTGCAAGACGGTGGCCATGTCTTTGCCCCTCGAGTTCGGGTCGGCGCCGGCCTCGAGGAGCTTGGCTGCGATGTCCAGGTTCTTGTTCCACCCGGCCTGCCACAAGGCCGTTGGCACCGCGCCGTCCTTGGACGTCTGCACGGCGTCGACGTTGGCCCCAAGCCTGATCAGCACATCAACGGCCTCCGGGTGGTTGTTCCTGACGGCCAGGTGAAGGGGCGTTGCGCCCTCGCAGTTCCCCACCAACGGGAGGTTGACCGACTTCGCCGCCTTGGCCACAATCTCGAGCCCCTCTGCGTTTCCACTCATGGCGAGCTCGTGGACGGGAGCGCTGCCTGACTCCTTGGCTCCGATGATTGTCGGATCGGCCCCTTGCTCCATCAATGCACGGATGACTTTTATATTCACCTTGGACTGCTTGCCGTTTTTGTCCACAGGATGGCATGCCATGAATAGGGGTGTCTGACCTTGCTTGTCCCGCACGTTTGGGTCGGCGCCTCTATCCAGCAAGTACTGGACAACGAGGTGCGCGGACTTTTTCGCTGCCAAATGTAACGCCGTTGCCCCTTTGTCGTTTGTAATGGTCCAACTCGCCCCGTTGGACAGCAACGTCAGCGACGTCGGCGTTTGCCCCCGCTGTAGCGCTTGGTGCAGCGGGGTTTCTTGCAATACATTCTGGATGTTGACGTCGGCGCCGTAGGCCAGTAGACGATCCAGGATGGGCAGGAATCCCTCGCGGGCGGCGATGTGCACGGCTCGGTCTCCGCCATCCCCCAGAGCCATGTCGACCGAGACGTCCTGGGACAGAATGGGCTCGACGTCGACAAGCCGGCCGCTTCGAACAGCCGTGTAGAGGTCCTCGACAAGCCGCGTTCTCGACTTCTTGATCTGCGTGTCCGACTTGCTCTTCTTGATTGTTTGAGGCGGCGGCTGCAGCTGGTCAATCGGAGGCGCCAACATGGAGACTGGCGTCTGTCCGGCCTCAAGCATCGCGATCAACCTTTGTAGGTCGTTGCTCATCGTATTGGTGTTGTGACTTTGCCTCTGTCAGCCTTAAATTCCGGTACCTCTTTCTGTGTCCCTCGTTGTCGTCCCGCGGCAGACCTACAGTTGTATTCCTGACATGACAATGGCGACCATATCCCTCTGGTCCTTGACGCTCTGCACAGCGTCTTTGAAAAAGTCTTCCTTCCACAAGAATTTGGTCTTGTCCCACTTGCCCATGAGCGAATTCTTTTTGCTCTGCAACTTTGTGACCTCTTTCTCTAGCTCTTCGAGTGTCTCGCGGATGCCCTGCATGCTCTTTTCGAAACACCACAGCAGAGTGTGCCCAGGCATCTTCTCCTGGGCGCCGGGACTGGGCTTCGTCTTCTTACCATGCTGCAATGCATCTGGCGTCCGCTGCAGCTGTTCTTTGAGGCTGAGGCAAAGCGCCTTGGTCCATTCGCACTCATCGATGATATCCCGTACCGCCTTGGGCGCGTTCTTGTACTTGTCACATAACCCGTTGATCTGATGGACAACGACGAACAGATCGATTACACTCGTTACTGCCCCGATGAACTCCATACCGGACGATCGCGGTTATTCGCTGATTCTGACTTTGAAGTCAATCCAGCCACACGCGACTAGATGGCAAAGATGCGGGTGATATACCAGGGAGCGGAGGGTTAGATTCCTCTTGCATGGCCCCGCTGGCTGCCTGTTCTGTAACCAATAATGCCAGTTGCTGCGTCTGACGTGCATTGCTGCTATCCCAGTGTAGGACCACAACAGGTTGCCTCCCAGGCTTGTCATCGCCATTCGCCCGGGAGGAAAACAGTGATCGTAGGGATGTCACGCCCGACCACGATAGCATCGTGACATCTCGGAAGGGCCCAAAGGGGAACTGGAGCACGTCGAGCTCCATGAGGATCCGCAGCCTCAGCATGTAGCCGCCAAAACAGCGAGTGACTGGCTCTGAAGTGGACGTCATCGTCTCGTTATCTGCGGCAGGTATCGTATCCTGGGAGCACCGCATTATGGCCGGTGAGCTCGAGGCTTGACGAATTGTTATCACAATTTGGAGCTTGGAGGGAACATGGCGATAAAAGCGGCAAGAAACCTAGAGAATCAAACCGGGGTTCTACCAGTGTGGAGGAAAGTGACAATGACGACATGGTTGCCGAAGCCAAAGAAGGCAGGGGCAGGGGTAGATGGCGGTAGGTCCGATGCCTAGGAAGGAAGGACCATCTCTCGCCAGTCACATAAAACGATCGACGCCTTTAGAATCTGGCACTGCATGGAAGTGTATTGGTTGCGAAGCTGAAAGTGTCAACGCAACGTTGAAGCAAAAAAGAAGGATTGGCATGAATGAAGTGAACGGGGGTGTCTCGGTACCACTGGGCTTGTGCCGCGCAGATGTCGATGCGGGATGTTCTTTACTGTAGTAGAGCGCTCACGAAATTAAGGTACGTAAACTTGGGGTTATCAGGGCAAGGCCTGCTGTCATTCGTCGTCTAGTCTCAACGAGGCGTTGTGGTACCTAGAATGCTCTTCAGCATGTGCATGTATTATACAAGAGGAGACGGAGCCACGCCAATTGTGTGTGGCCTGACAAAAGGGCAAGTCCTCCCATGCCCAGGGAGGGGTCCCAAGACGCTAAATCATCTGCAAGCTTGTTTTCTACCGTAGTCCTCGGCTGGCAGAACCAACTGATAAGTCCATGTACCTTGCACCATCACTTATCTCACCTCACCTTACCATATGATGTGACGAGCGGCACATGGCCGGCTGCCAGGAACAGGTGCCTTATCTATATAATATCACTGACGTATTTCGTTGACTTGCATGTCCTTTTTCCCTTTTCTTCTCCCTTTCCCGGTCTAAATCGTCCAATTTCATGAACCATCGTGTTTTGAATAAAGTCGTTTCTCGGAGGACGTCTTCTACTGACGAATCTCATCCACCCCACCACCCGCGACTCACCCCACCAACCAGCGATACCTAACGAACAACGTCCAACCCCCTCCAGGCGCTCGAATCAAAATGGCAGCCGAAGTCTCGCATGGGAGAGGCGGGGCAGGAAACATGGCCACCGACGATACTCAGTACGTCGACGGCGAGGTTGTAAGGGCCGGCCCCGAGGGCTCACACGGAACGGGCGCATTCAGCTCTGGTAGAGGAGGTGAGTCTCACGTCCTACTCCTAATAGCATGAGGCGCAAATGCCTCACCACCCATCGCGCCAAGCGGCATCGACGCGCTAGCCCTCCGACAGTCCTTCAACATCCCCACGATATCCTTACTGTCGTAGGCACGACGCATCTTTGGTAAACCATTCAACTGACTGCGACCCACCGCCGGCACCAGGGGCCGGAAACATTGCCGACACCGACAGCCAGCCCGCCCCGCGTGCCGACAAGGACATCGTCCCCGAGGAGGCCTGCCGCCCTTCGACCGAGGGCCAGGATTACCATGTCGGCCGGGGCGGTGCAGGCAACGCCGTCGAGACAGAAAAGTTGGCCGCGCACAAGGACATTGGCCACGAGAAGAAGGCCGCCGCTAAGGCCCGCGCCGAGGGCTCGGCCGGCGTCAGTGTTGCTGACAAGCTCAAGGCCAAGGTCCTCGCGCCCTTCCATAAGAAGTAAACCGGAGAGCCGCCACGGCGATCGGTGGGGTTTGCCGCGAGAGGAGATGGACCCCGTGCGTGGTTCCGGTCTTCGGTTGCTAGTTGGTTGTGTTGGAAGGTTCGGTAGTTTTGTTTGTTAACATACCCTTCATGATATCCCCCTTTCGTACAATTGCCTCGGATGCGTTGCTTGCTTTGAGGCTTTTATCAGAAACTTTCGAATAAGATTGGGCTGGGCTACCTATTGGCTCGACCATTGCCCCGGCAAAGCTTCCCCGAAATTAGTTTCCGCTGTCTCCCATGTGCATGAGGCTAAGTAGTGAGATACATCGCAGAGTCATGAATGAAAAAGCTTGCGTACACTTGGAAGTATCGGGGACATCATTGTTGCGAACTTTTACCAGAAAAGCACTGTAACGGAATCCAGAGCATTTCCCCTGAATCACGGAGCATCCAGGTAAGGAGGGCTTTCAGAAAAGTCTGCGCACACTTTTGGTGATGGCTTTTCAGGAAAGTCCATGACTGTTACAAATCGTATTCCCGAGCCTGTTTTGTCTGCCGCAGTAAGGGTAAGAGGAAATCATTGTCTATGACGTGTCCGATTTGATTTGCAGCCCCCACCGCAGGTCAGCCGCATTGAGCTAGTCCTACATATTCTTGACTTTAATGCACTCATCCCATCAAAGGGCGTTGTGGCGGAGTGGTTAACGCGGTAGACTCGAATTTGATCACAATTCAAAATCATATCTACTTCCTTCGGGAGCGTCTGTTCGAATCAGGCCAACGTCGTCTTTTGGTGCGACATGCTCTTTTCTTTTTCCCTTTTTCTTTCTTACCCTGTATAAAGAACTCGTAAATCGTTTTCCTTCAGCAGCGCATGTTCGCATCAAGCCTGTATTGCCATGTTACGTTTATTTTATTTTAAGTCTTTTTGGGTAGGTAAACCCTGCTGTTTTCTTGCGTTTCCGAAATGCCTGAATCAACTGTTTCGCTACTACACAACTGATGGTATCCGCCTCTTGAACCAGTACTCCGTACTTTCAAAGACAAAAAAGGCGTGTTTTGGAAGAATAGCAATTCAGCAATCCACAGGAGGCTTGCGCTGCCCTGATCACTAGATGCTCTCAAACTCGGGCAATATTATACTGAGTAGCAGCATCTTTGAAACACAATATGATCAAGCAGACAGTTTCTCTCGGACTCATTGCAGCATTCAAGCAACGCGACAATACATCGTTGGAGTCCATACCAGCCGAGGGTCCGGGGGTCATCGCGCATCTCCATCGGCACCTACACCACGGGTTCCATTAGGCCGTAATGCTCTGCTGTTATGAGTGACGTATTTTCTTCTTCTCTTTCTTCTTTATTTATTTATTACCACTCCGTGTTTGTCTCACCGCTTTGGCACTTCGCAATGCAGTATGACAGTGTACGATGCCTGCCACATTCTTGTATCTTGGTCATCGGCTCATACGCGAGAGATTAGGAGGACAGGACTACCTTCTCTCTGTGAATCGCATGGGTATGGTGTAGCAAGACTGGTCTACATGGGACCTCGAGCGAAGGCGGTGAGAAACTACGAATACAGAACTCTGAATTTGTACAGAGCCCCCGCTTCGATCTCTGGAACCGATTTCGAAGGATGTCAAGGACAACGTGGTGGGTCCCTGACGGGGCAGCTGTATCACTCTTCTAGGTACGAATACACAGGTTCAGATATTGCGATCGAGAAGGGTGCCCTACATATACACCACTGCAATCTACCCGCCTTTTGCGCCAGTTCGTGTCGAATGTGGCATGCTATTCACATGCCGATGATCGTCGCCCAGGGTTTAAGGGGTGTTGAGTTGTGGGTAGGCTGGTGCACAGAAAACCGCAGATCGTTTGGGCTCTTGCAGAATGCCCACCCCCGCGAGCCCAAGCTCGGTTCGGATCGCCAAGAAACCTTCGCCGCAGTGTGGCGACCAGAGGTGGGCGGCAGTAACTACGCGCCATGGTCCAAGTCTATGGATCGAGCGCAAAATGGTGGCATGCGAGAAGAAAAAGAAGAAGAAAAAAACACTGTCGCCAAGTATCACCTCCCGATAAAAGCATTGAGTTGACGTTGTTGCTCGAGGCCAACCCTTTCCAAGACGGCATCGGCTGGCCTGCCTGCCTAGCAAAGTAAAAACCGGGAGAGATGGGATGAGAGGGACAGCTGAACAAAGCCGTTGCCGATATTTCAGCATTACAAGGTTTGCGGCAGGGGGTGCTCCGTCGATGGTCGGAGTTCTCCATGGCGCCGATGAGTTTGGTCGGCTAACTAACTAGGTAGTGGTGGTAGCGAGTGATCGCTTGGGAGGGTTGACAATGACGGAGGCGATAGGTACCGGAGAGACCGTTGAAGAATTGGCCAATGGGAAGAGAATTTCATTCCTTTTGCGGTGTACGCAGTAGTGTAGGTGCTGTCATTGGCAACGATGGGCGAGCGCGTTGAGATGGATGGGCGATTCTGTGTGTAAGAGCGATGCCCAATCCCAAAGGCGGGTGCGGCGCATACATAATACATATCCATGTCTGCATGCCGGCCACTGAACATGGGACGAATGAAGACCCTGGTTCACTCACTGCGCATGTCGTCCAACGTGCATCCTCTCACGATAAACGTAGTTTAAGCGTACGTAGCAGCAGCAGCAGCAGCAGCAGCAGCAGCAGCGCTAGGCTAGGAAGACGATGGTTCCATCAGTGATGATGCGGTAGGATGCACCCATGCCTGCAGTCGCAGCGCTTGTGAGACTGGGCAACAGTGTCTGCTGCGGCGACTGGCGTCTTTGGGAGGTTGAAAGGCGGCGGAACGAGATCTGATAGACAGTAGCCGTCAATAGTGGACTTGGCTGAAGGCAGGGAAGGTTAGAAAGGCTCGGGCGAGGGAGCCGCGGAGTCGGGACGGAGAAGGCATGGAACAGGAGGCCAGGAATACGGTGGGTTGACGCTGTCACCTTTGGATACCTAACTTAACCTTGTCTTCCATTTCCATTACTTTTCAGGACGCCATATAACCGACGAACCACGCCGGCTGGCCCACCGCCCGTTCTTGCAAACTCGACGAGACACACACACACACACACACACACACATTAACCCAGCCTCTCTCACTGCATACCGTCTCTCGTCGTTGTCTTCTCCCATCGCCTTCATCCACCCGGACATTCTAGCTGCTTTGGCCCCATGTTGCTGTCCACGCCAACAACACGCCATCTCCGTCCGCGTCCCCGTCACCCCCCATCCACAGACGTGGGCTGTCGCATAGCCGTCATCGGGCAGCAGTATTATCGCAGTACATGATAAAGTCGCCTCTCACCTTGGGCCTGTGACTGACTGTTTGCGCGCCCTGTCTTCAAACAACAAGCTATTGCGACCAGACACAACGGCGAGGGCACCGGCGAAATATCCAGCAGCCACAGAAAAGAAAGAGGGTACGATTCAGTCCGCGAGGGTACAGCGCAGTGCAGCGCATTGCAGCATAGCTGGAAATTTACCGAGTGGCTCGACCCAACAAGAGCGGCAGCGGGGTCCGATACATACATTACAGCCAAACCCATCGTCATATCAAATCCGAGAATCCAGCCTTGTGGCGATACTGAGGTGCTGGGTACCTTGCCCGACCTGCATCCTGCGTACCCGTCTCGTCTGCGCATCGCTTGATTACCTTTGCTACCTCATCCATCTGAGGTGCTGAAGGTTCAGGTTGTGTCTCTCCAGTCCAACTTAGAACAGAGACACTCTGAAGCGTGCTTGCGTACTGCCGCTGACTGCTGCGACCGTCCATCCAAACACCTACTAGGTACCTAGGTACCGGTAACACAACAGAGGTAGGTAGGCACCAGGTGAGACAGACAGGCCCCCACTGTCAGCTGTCTTGTCTTCAACCAGTAAAGTCGCACGCACCCACCTCCCTCAGTTGCCCGCCCGCCCGCCATGGTTCCCAGGCAGGAGCAACACGCTCGGCCGCCGCCTGCACCACGTCTATGGTCGCGCCTCTCGACCTTGTCCAAACGTTCCTTTCGCTCCTTCACCTCCGACTTCGAAGCCGACGACGAACGTTCCGACACTGACTCGGACTACGAAAGGATGAGCGGCAGCAGTAGCGACGGCTTTCCTCATGGGCCAGGCCGTTATGAAGGGGAGGACTCGCGCACCACTTCACGCAAAGAGCTATCCGGCTGGTATGCATACGCCTTTGCCGCCGAGACCTATGTCATCTGTGGTGAGTTTTTGGTCCCAACTTTGTTTTCGACGACTTGTGATTGTGAGCTGACTGAACCTAGCTATTGGTATGTCCTATCATCGATCCCACTCCTGATGTTAGTCTGGTTGTGGAGCCACCTACTTGGGTAGCTTGAGATGATCGTGCAATGCACCCCGCCCTGGGCCCCTTTGCGCTGACAAGTCACGATGCTTAGGCTCTTTTATCCCGATCCTCCTCGAAACTCTTGCGCGCGAAAATGGTGTTCTGCTTTCCGATCGAACGACACCATGCGGTACGAGCGATTCCAAAAACAAGGCTGACGGACAATGTATCGTCTACGTTTTGGGCATTGAAATCAACACGGCTAGCTTCGCCATGTACACCTTCTCCATCAGCGTCCTACTCCAGGCGCTTTTGGTAGTGAGCATCAGCAGCGCTGCTGACCACGGCAATTCGAGGAAGAAGCTATTGCTCACCTTCGCATGGATCGGGAGTTTTTCCGTCATGGCTTACATTTTTGTCAGCAAGAGCACTTACCTCTTGGGCGCGCTGTTGGCCATCATATCCAATACTTGTTTTGGTGCCTCGTTCGTGCTTCTCAACTCTTTCCTGCCCTTGCTGGTGCGGCACCACCCAGACGTGATAGCGTCCGAGACTGTTCACACGCCGGACTTGGGACACTCCGCTCTAGAATCGCAGCCTCTCAACGGTTCTCATCCGGAAGAGGATTCCATCGCCGGTGACGCTGGAGACCAAACCTCGGCATTGCTCGGTGGCAACGGACACGGCGATTACTCTTTGGTTCGCAAAGCTACTCATGAGGAGCTCACCTCGGTGGAGCTTCAGCTATCAACCCAAATCTCAGCCACGGGTATTGGCATCGGCTACCTTGCCGGCCTCTTTGTGCAATGTGTTGCCATCGCCATTCTTATTGCGATGAAGAATACCACGTGGGCGCAAAGGGTCGTGTTGCTCATTGTCGGCTCCTGGTGGGCGTTCTTCACGATCCCTGCTGCTATGTGGCTTCGTCCGAGGCCAGGCCCACCGATGCCCTTGACGTCAGAAAAGGGACCCCGAGCCTGGTTGGGCTACATAGCCAACGCCTGGAAGTCGCTTTTTAACACAGTCAGGCTGGCTCGTCGCTTAAAGGACGTCATCTTGTTCTTATGTGCGTGGCTCCTGGTGTCAGACGCGATAGCGACGACATCCTCCACGGCGATCCTCTTCGCCAAGACTCAGCTCCATATGAAGCCTTGGGCCCTAGGAATGATCAACGTCATTTCCACTATCGCGGGTGTCGTTGGTGCGTTCAGCTGGGCTTACGTCTCACGTACCTTCAACCTGAAGCCTCATCAGACGATTCTTGTCTGCATCGCCCTCTTCGAGCTCATCCCCATCTACGGCCTGCTTGGGTATCTACCTATCGTGCAGCGCTGGGGCGTCATTGGGCTTCAGCAACCCTGGGAGATGTATCCATTGTCAGCGGTTTACGGACTAGTACTTGGTGGACTGAGCTCGTACTGTCGCAGTCTATATTCTCAGCTGATCCCACCGGGCAGCG